GTGCCTACTTCCTAGAGCAGACCATTCTTCCAAATGAAATTGGGATTGTTTTGTTTCCTTACATAGAAATGTCACAGATAGCTTGTAAGAAAGTGATCATCTTAGGACTGTGAAATGAACAGGAAGCCTGGAACATAGCTGAGAAAATTGTGCAGCCATGTTCTAATATTTGGTTTGGAACATGGCAAAAGAAAGCTGGTATGGTTTCAATGTCTAAAGATAATTCTGATGGTACAGTGGCAACTTATTTTTCATTACTAGAAGATTCAAACATGACTCATTTTCTAGTGCAATCCAAATTACTCAGCATTTTTGACACTGAGTTATCTTATCCCAAATTACTTGGTATTTTTGAGACTGAATTTTGAGTGTGATATAGGAAGTGACACATGATATCAAAACACCAGACCAGGACCTATCACATGCTGACTCACTAGTCTGCCACACATCTACATCAGTGATGGCAAAGGGGCTGTGTTACAAGAACTGCTTTCAAACAACAAACACACACACACAGACGGCTCTGAAGGACAGAATCAGGAGAACATAAACCTGTGCCTATACATATCTACACTGAAAAAGCACACGGGTGCTTATGAAGTTTTATTGACTTACCAAGAACACGAGGGTCTCAGAAGACAAGAACCCAACCCAATAAAAAGGTATCCTACAGTAGGAAGAACCTCCTGTCCCAAGTTTACTGGACAACAGCTGTGTTTGATAGCACTGGCTCCAAAAGACAGATGTTTCGTTTTCTTCATTTGAGACAGGGTTCCTCTGACTAACATCACTGACTGTCCTGGAACTGGCTTTGTAAACGAAGTTGGTCTTGAACACAGAGATCACAGCGATCTGCCTGTCTCCCTCTCTCAGCTGTTGGGACTAAAGACATATACTGCCACATCTGGCTTGATGTTTACTTGTTAATAAAGAAAATTGCAATAAATTTTTAGCAATAACTGAAAAATTCAAATACATCACTCATGCTAAATTGAAAACTTATAAATTTTCTTTTCTATCCATGTAGAAGATCAGAAAACCGGAATTTGCCAGACTATCAATTATTGATGCATTCTCTAAATATAGGCAAAATCAATTCAATGTAACTTAGCTTTGGGAAAAATAGAGGATAATTTCTAGGTAGATATAGACACACAACTCTTCATCTTGAAAACCTACAACCATTAATAAAAGCATCAACTCTTTCCAATGTTTAATAACCTTTCTTTAAAACACAATACCCATGGCTTCAGTATCATAAAACAAAACTAATAGAGAAATTATAATGTTTAAACTATGCATAATCCCAAGTGACTACATTTGTCTTACAGCCAGACCAACACAATTCTCAGACATCCACTGCCAATCACAGAGCTAGATGTACTTAATTCTACATCATAGATGAATCCTGCAACCTAGAGCTATTTATTTATGCTTCAATCATCAATTAAAAATTTCCTCAAGATTTGCTGGCATAAGCTTTTAGTGTTGTGGTACATTGTAGAGGCACAAACAATGAATGAGTGATACTTGGTTCAGAGTTAAAAGAACTGAGTCGACAGCCTACAGTACAGATAGAACATGTGTGTTTAATGTGGATCAGACCTGTCAATAATGGGTAACAGAAATCACCATGTAAGAAGCAGTCCAGCACACATTCTTACTGAAGATGGAAGAATCTTGACGGCCCAGCTCAGTCTTTCCTAAATGTTTAACATATGCTACTACATGGCCCCAGTTACAATTGGAAAGTGTAGCAGACCTACACTGAATATTTCCTGTAAGACATCAAAGGGCATGTGAGTGCTCCAAAACACAGATAGTGACCTCCTCACAAGTCATTTACTTCAACACATCCCAGAGAATAGCCAGTATTAATGCATAAGTTGAGGGTGACTAAGAGTTCATTACTGTATCTTCATCTCTATAATTAGAACTCTACAATGGTATTTACAGCATCACATATCACATTGGAGCCATAAATGTGAATATTTATCTCTGAGAAAAATAAGCAGTCTCTTATCCATCAGACCATTTTTTGGTCTTTGGAGAATCTTAAAATAAATTGTTCTTTTAAAAAAGTCCTCTCCAATTGACATTTTATGTATAGGATCAGAAATCTCCAAGTTTAATCACTGACTAGCCTTTAAAAAGTACATTTTTAAAGTTACATTTTTAAACAAGATAACTAAAATGGGGTCATCAAAGTTCTCTACAAGTATGACCCCATGAGAACAAGAATCTAAAAGCTTAACATTTCTTTCTCATTCAAGAATTTTGTGCTTAATATAGAAACAGGAACAACATGGAAACTGTCACCAGGACAGTTCTATGGTATAAGTACATAGAAGTGGAGATCTGAGAGACGGCACTATACAGTAAAATATATGAATATTACTCAAATGGTAAAAAGATGCTTTAAAACATTTATATATCCTCCCTCCTCTCTTGTGTGTGTGTATGTGTGTGTGTGTGTGATTGTATGAGTTTATGTGTACCAAGTGTGTGTGGTGCCAAGAGAGACCAAAAGAAGACAACCCAGCCCCTGGAACTGGAGTTCCAGACGGGTGTGAGCTGCCTGATGTGAGTGCTGAGAACAAAGCCCAGGTCCTCTGCTAAAGCAGTAAGTGCCCTAACCCTCTGAGTGCTCCATCCACAATGATAAAACATTTTAAATTTTCACTTCTAAAGCAAGTGCACACCGGGAGTTGCTACTAAGTATAAGAAACCCATCTTCCAACAAAGCCATTCATCTCTTCATCTCTCACTATTATTCAAAACATGTTTATTTTTCTATTTCCACATGTTTTACCATTTTAAACAGTTTCAAGTGTTTAGACTCCTTTCCAAATGATCATGAAAGTGTTTCTTTGAGGTCTAGTCTCTGTCTACCTGGGGTGAATTCCAGTCCATTGAAAGGTAATACTCAATAACTACATTTTTAAAATCCCTTTAGGATCCCTTCTCTTCATAAACTATCAATTCCATTCACTACAATTATTAATAAATATTTTAAAAAATAATCTGCTTCTTTTAAAAAAATTACCCATTATATATTTACTTTGCCTATATATGTATTTTGTTGACCAAAACTACCCAAACCAAAGCTCCAGACTCAGACTTCTTGGAAACTTAGACTTTAGGAGCTGGAAAGGATATTAAAGAGCATCTCCAACTCTTTCATTTATGGTTGAGGACATCCAGCCCAGAACAGATAGCTGAGTGACTTTGGGCATGTTTCCTACCAGTGGAACAGCCAGAAGCTGAAGCCAGGTCTCCTGATGCCCAGAAAGGAGCCAGGTCTCCTGATTTCTAATCCAAGGATCTTTCCATTACACATACTGACTCTGTTCTTTGAGGCTGTATTGGGCTGCTCACACCGATCAAGCCACTTTAAGAATGATCACATTGGTAACAGAACACTTTGATGACCTAGACACCTAACACTGGGTCACTCCTGTGTGTAATCGGGCTGTGCTGTACTCACTCTCATTCCTCCTGTTCTGACATCTCCGTGTCCCTTTATTGATCACACTACTGATTACAGTCAGTACAATTTTTTTCAAGACAATGTGTGATTTAGCCCCCAACAAGTCTTTTTTTTTTAAATTAACAATTTCACAGGACTGTATAAGTGGAACAGTAACTTACATAATATTAACTATGACCCAGGAACTGTACAAAGTACTAGAGCCTGTTCTCAATGTCCGTATCACAGTTCCAATGAAAACTTGTATCTGTAGCAGATGGCTAAACATTAATAATAGTCATTAGTTAGCCCTGGAAGGACAAAATCAAGGAAGGCAATGACTGCCTGTTTGATGAGGTTAATAGTAAATTACTACCAAGCACAAGTCTCTTCCTCCTTTTAGAGACAGTCCCATAGTGGGGTGGAGGACTTTGCTTGGGGGAAAGGGGTTCTGAAATATACCCTTTCTGAGGGGTATATTGTGTATATCGACATTTAGTTTTTGTTAAGCTATGAAGTTAGTCCAAATTGGGTGTTTATGATGAAGAAAAGAACAAGTACCTCCCCACAGACAAAGACTTTTATAAATATAAAAGCCAGGAAGCATAGAAAAACTCTGCAAGAGGCAAATGAGTTCTCAGCCTCTGCTAGATTACAGCCAGAGGGATGCAGCACATAAGCTCTATCTTCCTAGCTAGAAAGTGAAGCCTTTAGCTTGCAGGATTGCTTCAGTAATAAAATAGTGTGGCTCCATCCTCTCTGCCAACCACAAAGCAGCACCTAGGCTCTGCTTGTTCCACAGTTCAGTCCTACATCCTGAAAACTGTAAGCTCCTAAAGTTGTAGCTCACTCTTCTTGTCTGGGAAAATCTGGTACTGAGGATGCTCTGGCTAAATATATGGTGAGCCTTTAATTGTACAAATCTGTACCCTTCATTGGTGCACTTTGATCCCTGAAATTCATCAGACAAAAGGAAAGACACCATTAACATGCAGTATCACTTTTCTCAACAATGATACTTTTCTAAAAGTGTATATTTAAAACAACAGAATTTAGTTCAAAGCTAAATTCCTTTAGTCAGTCCACTTGGACAAAGCATAGGTATTCTCCCTGAGTCCCTGCACTCAGCAGCTTTGGAAGGTGTGATGGAAAAGTAGGGCAAGAAGGAAAGTTTTAGAAGCAGCTCTCACAGAGCCTGCAGTTTGAACCAAAGCACAAGTTAAAGTGGTCAGCTGCAAACCCATGAGTCAGAAATAAATCAGACCAGAGCAGGAACAGCATAAGCAACTTGACCGCAGGTTTCCACATTCCAGTGCAGGATGCGGGAATATGAAACACAGCTAACGTGAGAGGCACTGGGAAATTCATTTAAATTTCCACAGGCTTCGATTTCCCAGATGAAATATCCTAATAAAGAAGGTCTTTCTTTCCCAGGTACGGTCACATGCTTGGGAGAAGGACACTCTGAGAGGAGGTAAAATACACAAGACGCTGTTATCTTTGCTCTCAAAGTGATATCTTATAACCTTACCTAATAGATTGGTTAACCACAAGGCCAAGTCTTCTTTCATCGGCAGCAAATTAGCTTCGTGTCTGCTGGCCAGCCACTGGCTGTACTGATGCATATCAGACAGGCCAGGGCCGCTGCGAACCTTGGGGCTCAGGGCAGAGCACATCATTTATCCACTCCTAACACCTACTGTGGAGACAAAAGAGCAATGGCTTTTTATACAAGTTAAAATTTAAAAACTTCCACCACCATGACATTGTAATGAGCCTCATCCATGGGCTTCTGTGACGTCAGCTCAAGTTATTAATTATTAAACCCCAGAGGCATTATTTGCTTTATTCATCTGGCTCTCTAACTTTTAGTCAGCTACTTGGTAACAGAAACAATCAAAGGTCAAAGAGAAAGTCAAACAATAAATGCTTAGCTCATGTAAAACGATGTATTTGGGAAGGGCCAACTTCAAGGAAAAGAAACAGAGTAAAATGTAGTTAAATGGAGATTTTAGTGTCTGGCATCCTTTAAGCCAGAGATTTCCACAAAATGTGAGTGTTGAACACAAGCACTGACAGTATTCACATGATTTCTAGTAAACACATGGGGACTGTTGGTAAGACTCCTACCTAAAGGATTAAGCATAACATGCAATTTGTTGGTGATGGCCAAACTCATTCAAGGACACACAATTGAAACACCAAGTATTGGGTAGGAGAGGAAGGGTATTCAAAGAGTCCCCATTACCACTCTTGAAATCACAGAAGACCAAAATGAGAAGGGAGGAGTGGCATAAGCAGTCTGACTCCTTGACATCACAGTAGAGTCAGGCTAAGATATTGTTCTTAAAGCCTCAAGAACTCTTTCCATAAAGACACAGTCTGATAGAATGCAGTAGTGGAAAACACTATTCTTGCAACTGCTGCCTCTGGTAGCCTCTGTTCTGGTTTCCCTTGCTCTGAATCTTCCTTATTTTAGTTATACATATTGAGTTTTGTTTTTAATTGGTTTAGAGTATGTTAATGTTTTACATCTAAAATACAAGTGGCAGAGAAAGAATTTGCTTCTCATATTAGATATCCCATGTTAATACACAGCACAATAAAAATAAATAAATAAGATTATTTCATGACATGATTACTTCATTGTATGCATAACATAAATCTCTACTTGAATCATTAAGTACTTAAATAAATATTTTAAAGTACATAAATACATTTAAGAAGTTAAAATACATAAGTCGACCTTAGTATATCACCTTTGTCTACGTTTCTTTTAAAGACAGAGTCATAAGTAACCCAGAGTAGCCTCAAAATGCTATATAGCTAATCGTGGCCTTGTTCTTCTGATTCTTCCGTCCTACCTCCTGAACTCTGGGATTACAGATATGCCCACCATACTGGCATACAAAATGCTGGAAAACAGTCCCAGACCCTTTTGCATGCTAGGCAAACATTCTACCTATTGAGCTATATCTCCAGCCCCTCTCTGAATTATTTGTAAAACCTGATGCTATATAAGTAAAATAAATATACTGAGGCAGTCTTTTATCTGATATAAAATGACTTCACCTTTGTTCACAACAGTTCAATCATTTCATTTACAGTCTATTTCACCATAGGACCTACTCTAGGTACAAATCAGTATGTACATAAAATAACCAAAAAAGTCCACCCAAGTGACAAAAACTACAAGACTATCTGCAATAGGCAACTCGTTAGATGCATATGACATCCTGGATACTTCATCTAAGCATTGCAGTGTAAGTAAATGACATGTTGTCTCTAGGGTTTTACTCTTTCAAACTTTGTGCAGGACTCCTTGGTAGTTATTCTCAAACTCTCATTTATTTAGGTTAATTTCTTTTAAAAGTTTTTTTTAATAAATGACCTATTTCTATTTTTCAATGCAAAATGTGGTTATCTCCAAAATCTTAGAACATACTGTTGGGAGAGGTAGTTAAATACAAAAAGTACATAATAGCACACAACTGAAAGGTACAATTTCATTCTGGATGCAGTCAGCTCACTCTTTTGACATTTTCTAAGTATCTGAAGTGAAGCACTAGGAAGGTGACTTGTGTTTACTACAACTTGCCATAGGTTACAAGACTGTCAACATATGAATTACAATGTTGCTGTTGTTTATTCTCTCCCAGTTAATAACAGCATTGCTCACGTTTCCCTAAATGTTTGCAATTAAATATTAAAAACAAAAAACCTCTGAAATATTTTCAATACCAATTCTTTTTAAATTATGTTCATTTCAGCAAAACAATACCTCTGTCTGTAGCTAATCAGGATCCTACAAGATGGTTAGCCTGTCAACATGTATGTAATCAATTGTGTACATCTAAGCACATGAGTCACACATTCAAATAGCTAATTGAAATCTTAAAAGGGTTACCTCTAAATTATCTTCCTTCTCAAGACACAATCTCTCCCACTACTTCCCTGAAAGTGAGATACTGTCTCACAGTAACTCTACCCTCACTCTTTTGTGTGTCCTGTGACTCCCATTGATGCTTCAGAGCCCTGTGTCATTCTACAAAGGCAAGAAGACGCCTCAGGTTCTGAAGCTCATTGTGTAGCACAGAGTCCATCAGAGGATCACTTACAGTGAGCCTAATGGCATGTAACAGTTCCAGTGAGGCAGAGAGACAACAATCCTTCCCCTCAACATTTCTGAACAGTGAAGTTGTTATTTTCCTTGACAGTAACACCTTTATTTCTCATGCAATCTCTCTTGTGTTTCACCAGAAATGTAACCCAAACTATCTCCTAATATGGACAGATGAATTAACTAAAATCAGTAAAGATAACTAAGCTAATTTTATTTTTAAAATGTGTACATAACCACAATTTCAGTAGAGATGGTCAGTAAAATTGGGGTCAGATTTTCCCAGAGGCTTAGTTGGTAATTCAAATACTAGAAAGGTTAAATAACTAAACTATGGCAGATGCAGAGAGATACAAAGGTATCTTCACAGATAGGACTTCTCTAAGCCTTCTATAAAAAGAAGAAAGATGGGCAACCTAATTTCTCTCCATATTTTCCAATTTCTCTCCAATTATTTTCCGTATTTGCAATCATAAATACACTGAGCATAACTCAGTAAGTTTTCTTAAACTCTCTACACTTATGCCTTAGAATTAGCTAGATAGTAAACAGAAATGGAGCCAGCTAGAAGGAAAAAAAAATACGGAGTCTGAGGAATTCACCACATAATGAAGCAGACTCTCACTGAAATGACTAAACTGTAAAGAGGGAAAGAAGGAAAGAGAAAAGGAAGGAAGGAAAGGAGGGAGGGAAGAAAGGAGGGGGTATGGAATTTGATTGTTATATAATTTGTAATAAATGTTATGTGTGTATAGATGAACTGAGTTAGATCCTAAAGAAAAACTATGGAAAATATCATGCCAGTTTTTTTGGAGCACATTTAAAGTTTCCAAGACTACAGAACATGTTAGTAGTAAATTTAAATACAGGGTATAAAATGATCAATGAGACACTGAACAGTGCAGTGTCAGGATAAGGAGAAAAAGTTTTCATTGTCTAGACAATGAAAGACATTTTCAAAAAAAAATGTATGCAATCCAAATATTTTAAAAGACCAATCAATAACTTTGTTAAATATTAAAGTCAACCAATTGGAAAGAGTAAGACTTCAAATATGTGTATAAGCTCACTAAATTGGAGCTTCTGCGAGCTTTCTCGGTCTAAATGTAGGTAACTGAACTGTCAGGACTTGGAATGAATAAAAATAAACCTTAAAGGGAAAAACATGCAGAAACGTACACAACCCCCTTCAAAGATTGTGTGCTTTTCCTGTCTTTCCATAGGAAAGGTGACTCTGGAATAGCAATTATGGATCTGATGAGACGTGGACAAACCCGAGGGAAGGAGGGAAAAAGTTAATGAGCCTGAAAGTTAAACACCGTGTTTAAAGACTGTCTAGCTCATGACTCCAGAATGCAGCTGAAAACATCGAGTTTGCTCTGATGGGGAAAACAATTCTTCCATCCTCCTAGAGGTGTGCTTTGATTGTCGTCAAATGGTTTGTCCTGTATCGAGAAGACTGGCATGAGAGAAAACCGATTTTCATATATCTATATAGCACAATGTTATATAGATAATAAATTGTAAAGAAAAAACAGAAGCACAACAAGTAAACGTACTACTTGATGATCACCTTCTGTGAGACTCCACTAGGGATGCTAATGAACAGACACAATACAGGAGATGGAATCCAACATCCTGAGGGGAGATAATCACTCAGTGGCCTAGCCATTTAGAAACTGTACATGTCATTGGACTTTTCTTTGTAAATCTGAAATCCGGGTTGTGTACTGTGGACTGCAGCTTTCAAAGATGATTGTGAAGATTCAATATTCATGATGTTCCTTGGCAAATATCACCACAAGAAAATGTGGCAAAATAAAATGGCTTATTTTGGAAAGAAAATCTACAACAAAATAGGATTTTCATAATTATCAATCATTAATATGAAAGGAGAGAAGAGAAAGAGATGTCAACAGATAAAGAATTAATGAGCACTGTACATCATTAAAGCTCCAACATTCTCTGCATGTTGAGATCTACACCCAAGCTTAAGTGTATAATCAATTATGTGTAGCAAAATGAGTAGTTTATAAGGAGTTAAAGATGGTAACAAAGAATACTGTACTTTGATGTCAGTTAATCATAAGCTAATAATATGATAATATTCTGCACTTACTGAAACACACAAGTGCCTATAGCTACTATCCAAACTTCTCTGTCTCCCTTTCTCCCTCCACCTCTCCCATCTTCTTTATTTAAAACAAAACAAAACAAAAACTAGTAAAAACAGTAAAGCTCAAAGGATGTGCCTTTAGAGGCAATCTGAGCTCTCTTCCACAATGTTGCCCTCACTTCTGACCATTAAGTTTTAAGTGTTAAAGGTTTCAAACAATGCAGAAACAGAGATTATAGGACACTAACCCTCCCTTTTAAAAATTAAAAACAAAATGAATACGTAAATCCAAAAACTCTTCCAACATCTGGCAGGAGAAATGTCATCTTGAACTAGACTCAACTGAGGACTTTAATATCATGTGACTTACATTAAACAACCAGTAACATCTCTGGAATATGTAGATTCTCAACCAATGTTCTGAATGCAAAATCCTTGCTTCTGCCGTTTTTTCCTTTTATTA